GCATCAACGGCGGCGGCGAGGCGGTAGCGCTCCCACTGGCATGCGCACGATGGAGAGGGAGCCAAGGCGAACTAGTGGTGTAGAGGAATTTGCGCGGGGTGAAGTGGTAGAAGCTGGCCACGGCATGGGCGGTGACGGGTCTTAACGGCACGGTGGCGGGCAAAGCTCTAAAATTAGAGCTCGGCTGAGCCGCAATCAAAGCGGGGTGGGGACGGTCGGCAAGAGGTCGTAAAGGCGGAGACACGGGCACGCGGAATTGATGAGAGGTGCTCGCTCTCTGACTCACCATGACTGTGACTCGATGGCGGTGGAAAGTAGAGGAAGAAAGAGAGAGATGGGGCACGGCAGTGGGCTCGGCTCGTCCTCACCTTGGCAGGACGCGAACGGCGAGATCGGGAGACCCACGCGCCGGCACTAACCGATAGGTGCGCGCGCCCGACCGACGTGGCCTGCGTGGCCGCAGTGTCATAAATGACATGGCGACGGTGGCTCAGCCACGTGCGTGCGGCAGCGATAGCCTTGAACTGGGCCGACAGATGTGTAGGGTTACAGCGGACAGGCGTGGACGCAACGACTATGCGACGACAACGGCAGCATCGCGACTCGAAGAGGATCGACAGGCGGACGGACACGCGAGCAAAGACAACAGCAGCCATGGCGGCACCTGGTGGTGGCGCGCGAGGCTAGGCTAAGCGGCGGGGGGCGGTGGCGCGCCTGACTGTCTCGGCCAAGCCCAGGCGGCCCGACCGGCCAAGCGCGGGGGTACGGGTGACCGCGTGGGATGCGGTCATGGGCGCGGCGTCGGGGTGGCCGCACGGTGACCGTGCACACAGCGCCACCATCCCGAGACATGTGACGTGCACAAATTTTAAAGCCCCCATAAAAACTAAACGGTTGCTCCAAGAGCCAAACCATCTTCACTATGCTCAAGATGCACATAAGACTACCAAATCGACCTATAACACTACACTACCCCTTAACCCAATCTCTCAAAATAAATTGCTAAACATAGCAATGTCTGGCTGTTGACAGACTTGAAAATTTTCTTAGTTTTGAATTGAACTTGATTTTAATTTGTGATTTCTAGGCTATTGAAAATATTACAAAGCAATATTATTTTTCAAAAGCAAGTATTTCATTGTCATCTACAAAGTTTGCACTTCAAACTTTATTTAAGTGTCACATACAGGTTCTATAGTATTTTTGCTTAATAAAAATTGGTTTTAAACCCTACTTGATATGCATGAACTATCGAATCAACTTTCGTTTCGCATTTTTGTTGATCGTTTCGAGTTACATGAATTGATCTACACACTTTATCACATGCATTAACACATAAACATAACGCTCATGACATGTTTTAGTAGATGATTTACTGTGTAACATCGAGGGTGTTACACTTCCTACATCTCAGTCGTCTGAGATTTGTTGGTCGTTCAGGCGATGGCGCCCGCTCCCCACGCGCCCAATGCGTCTCCTCCCCAACGCATGCTCCCCACGTGGCTCCTCCTTCTCTCCCCACACGCTCGACCGGTACCCGTGCCCGCGACTAGGGTTCAGGCGAGACCTCGTCATCATCGGGTAAGTCCAGTGTCCTCTCTCTCCGGCCTCTCCCCCACCTTATTATTTAAATCCGGTGGGTATAGAAGGGTTTTGGGAGGAGGTAGGTAGGCCAGGCGGTGGGGGAGGCGGCAGGGCGGCTTTGGGGCCCTGGCGACGGCGGAGGCAGCCGAGGCCACGTTGGGGCGGGGGCACTGCGGCCGTTCTCGCCGGAGTTGGAGAAGAAAGCGGCGGCGAGAGGTTGGGATGGGAGAGGGAGGCCATCGCGGGGCGTAGGGTCTCGCCAGAGCTCCGCCGCTGCCCCTACCGTGCCGCGACGGGGCGGTGGATGGCAGCGATGGTGGGGTCGCACACTCTGGGAGGACAGAGAAGAAGAGAGCTTGTCGGGAAGAAGAAGAACATGTCTAGCCGTTGGATGGAGATCGGACGGATGAGCTTCGTCGCCTGAAAGAAGCAAAGTTTTCAGGCGCCTAGAATATAGCATCACCCTTATTACACTATCATAGCCACATTTCCAAAAAAATGTTTCTACTACACCTAATTTTAGACTCCCAAACATGCATTTCCACATATACCCACCCTTGTGTATCATCCCTATGTGTCAATCACAACACAATCAAGCATGATTTCCTTTGTCCACCTTTTGGCTTTTATGTTCACAGTCCCTTCCTCAACCTTACATGGTCCTCCCCCACCATTATGCCATGTTTACTCCTCATCATGTTTTGGCTTTCATTTCCTTCATCTTTAGCATTTAGGCATTTGACCGAAAAAAATTCTCCTGCAGCGCGTGTATATGTGTTCACAATCCTTTCATTACCAAGATCATGCATGGTCATGCTGCAATTATTAATGATTCCCTCTTTTATCTTGAATTTTATTTCCTTCCTTTTTATGAATTAGATTACCTATACCCTCCCTCCAACGTTGGCCAGAATAAACTAATGTTTGTTTTGAGATACTCCCTACCAATTATTTAGTTGGTCAATTTATCCCTTAACAAGATTTGATAGTTTTTGTTTCTCAATGTATACGTTGAGTTTTGTGAAAAAAGAATTGTGGCTTTTGCAGCTTTGCTTGAACCAAACATTAGCATTTTATCGCATGGCGTGCCACACCTTAGACGTTGGCAATCTACGGTGGGAAACCAAACATCCTCTAAGTCCACAATATTACACAACCCATCCTAATATTCAGTACCAACACTTAGGTGGCTGAAGCTCTCACATATGTATGATGATACTCCCTTAAGCTTTAACGACAGAAAATCACCGAGTATAAGGGTATTTATAGATAAATCCCCAATAGTAAACAAGTCTAAGGGAAAATTCTCTTTGACGAATGACGACACTACTAGCGGTCAAGTGGTTCTACTAGAGATATGGTGATACTAGTACCAACCACTCCTGTAGCCTGTAGGCCTTGGTGTGGACTTATTTTGCCAATGCACTTTGTAAGCATCTAGGTCCTTAGATAAGTGGTAAGTATTTTAGTGATTAATCAAAATTGTATCATTACGACTAGCAAAGTTATTTGAAAGGACATTGAAAGTTAAGTCACAATAACTTAGGGTATTCTTGGTCCCTAATTTAACAACGAGAGATCAAAGTATATGGTTGTCAAGACTAAGGATCTTCTAGATCTAAATGATACAAGGAGATGAAGGACACTTAGAGTAGTATAGGTTTTCTAGCTTTCAGTCCTTTTTTTTTAATTACTCTCTCCATCCCAAATTGTAAGTCGTTTTAACTTTTCAAGATACATGCTACGTATCCAAGCATAATGTATATCTAGGTACACATCAAAAGTTTTTAAAAAAATCAGAACAACTTACAATTTGGAATGAAGGGAGTAGCTTTTGATCTTTTGACCATACTATAAAGAGGTAAAAGTTTGTAGTCGAGCATAGACTTGATAAGATACTCATTTGTGAAATTCTTGCACTAGATAGCTCAAAGAAGCCCAGAAGTTCAACAGAAGTAAGGAAATTCTTGCACTAGATAGCTCAAAGAAGCCCAAAGGTTGTACATAACGACTTAAGAAAGATTGAATTCGACAATTCCTGGATTTAAAAAATGTAACATCAGACGTTTGATCTAACCCTGGTTAGTAGTAAAAAATATGAACATCAAGACAATTGCACAATAATGCCCTGACAAGTAGATCATTCGTTGAACAATAGTTTTATGCCATTGCATGTAAAAGCATTAAATATAAATAAAAATAAAACTAATTACACAGTTTGAAATCCAAACTCCAATCAACTATGATCGGTGACACCGTGGTACTCATTTTGCAAAAATTTTTCATTGAGTGTATTTCCAAAATCTCAAAACTTCATAATCCACTCTGTCGAATTCCTTGTATATTGATGATCAAAGTTGAATTGACCAATAAAAATCTAAATGGCTTATGTTTGCAAAATCAGAGTATCTCCTACCAAGCCAACAGAAGACATGACTTGCATGAGATGAAGAACAGAGTATTCACACACAATCCACCAGAAAAAAGATCCATAAGCAACAGAGCTTAAAACATAGCATTTGCCGTACATACTGATACAATCACACGGCCTAGGCGACTGGGCGACTGCAACCAGGGCTTGTGAGAGATTAAAAAAAAAGTCATACAGGAGCTGATTTAAAGATACATAGCCGGGTACATTAAAGCTGGCAAACCTTCCCGTGAATCTAAAATCTGCGATCCAAGTACTTTTAGAGCAAATTATTAGCTTCATCGCACAACAGTTCTGAAGGATCAGCCACAGAAGTTACAATGTAGTGTCTCTGGGTATCCTGAGACAGACCACAATAGCTTGCGTGACAGGGTGAGGCCTGGCGAGGAGTGGTTCACCAACGATCCTTTGTTTACTTGTGCAAATGATTGCTTAGCTTGAGGCAGACCAATAGAGGGAATGATGTCAAAAGCCAGCTTATGACGTACACTGGGGTACTGGAAAAGTAAAACTTCTAAGAGTACATCGAAATACTCGGCAACATTATTGAAGTAGCATCACATTCCAATAGGGGCTTGTGAGAGATTAAAAAAAAAGTCATACAGGAGCTGATTTAAAGATACATAGCCGGGTACATTAAAGCTGGCAAACCTTCCCGTGAATCTAAAATCTGCGATCCAAGTACTTTTAGAGCAAATTATTAGCTTCATCGCACAACAGTTCTGAAGGATCAGCCACAGAAGTTACAATGTAGTGTCTCTGGGTATCCTGAGACAGACCACAATAGCTTGCGTGACAGGGTGAGGCCTGGCGAGGAGTGGTTCACCAACGATCCTTTGTTTACTTGTGCAAATGATTGCTTAGCTTGAGGCAGACCAATAGAGGGAATGATGTCAAAAGCCAGCTTATGACGTACACTGGGGTACTGGAAAAGTAAAACTTCTAAGAGTACATCGAAATACTCGGCAACATTATTGAAGTAGCATCACATTCCAATAGGGGCAGCACACAGAGCTGGCAGAGCAGCACTCGGAGTTGAGCAGTTGTACCCAAACAGGTCCAGCATCCGTGGGTTCTGGCACTCAGGCTCATAGCTCACTTCCTTGACGCCATCATCATCTGCTGGCAAGATCTTCTCAGTCAAGGAGAAACCAAAAAGTCTGCAGCTAGTTTTGCGAACCTCCCCTCCACCAGACCCAAGCTTAGCAGCATCTCCAAGTGCTGAAGCTCTTCTAGTCTCAAACTGATCCAAGTTCATTTGATCAGGTGTTGCATGCTGTGGCCTGGTCCAAATTTCCCTCGTCCTGTCAAATGGGCCAGACTGCTGGCCATTTGTACCTCCACCAAACTTGCTTGCCAGTCCAAGCTGTGGAACCACAGTTCGGTTAAAAATATTATCAGGGTAGAGAGAGGGCACTTGTGCTCCTGGCGGAGTAGATAGTGTGAGACAACATTCTTGAGCTGTGGCTGATAATCCATTAACAGCAACTGGGGTATGCATATAACTATGCAGCCCATATCCGCCTTTCAGTGAACAAGCCTCAGACATCATTCCTTGGAACATAGGAACTGCCCGAGAAATTTCTTGACCTTGCAAGACCTCTGAGAATCCAATAGATTCATTGAAGCCTACAGATTGGTAGGTAAAACCAGAGTTATGCACTGCGAGTCTGCTTGTTGGACCACTCAATGCGCAGCCACGTGCATTACTAAGGAACCTACTAGCATCAGAAGATTGAAGTTTTGCAGCCTCAGCAATTTGAGGAGCACACGGAACATGACGAGTCCTCAAACCCATCAATTCTTGACCTTGCAAGACCCTGGGTAACTTTCCAGTTTCCACGGAGTCAGTGCAACCATTCCCTGTAACATCTCATGCGACAGTCAATTAGCATATAGGTTAAAGGATAGCATACATATGTACAGGCATTAGTCTTGTGCTATGAGAGCTTACACATTGTTGGAACGTCCAAATTTCCCTGAGCACACAACTTGGTTCTTTTAGAACTAGATGCGGACAGAGAATGAGCAACAGAGACAGAACCACCAGCTATCTCGATCTCCCATGGAGATACTCTATCTTGGCCGTTACAATCAGCAACGCCCTCCCATCTTACCTGTATAAAAAGGCAACACTTTAGCAACCATATATTAATAGTGCAGTTCATTATGAATGGATAGTTATAATTTGATTATCATATAAGTAATATGGCATATAATATTTCTCATTTCCAAAGAAAAACAGGTCAAACATCATCCGTTCTTGCAAAATAGTAGACATCTTCATCATTATAATTTGATTGTCAAGAAATACTTGAACTGAAGGTCAAAACATAAAACAATTCTAAGTTACTAGGAATATCACGTGGTAGCAAAATTTTCAGTATCCAAAGAAGCCCTCATAAAGCTTGCCCAGGGTTTTGCAAGATCAAGAAATTTGGACGCTCAGGCTGGTGGTATGATTCAAATCTCCTTATAAGCTTGCTACAGTTAGGGTTACAGTGTATTTGTGACTTTACCTTGGTACAAAGAATAGAAGAGTTAGCACAGCATGCATCATGGAAGATTATTTCCAACAGGTCAAATATAACCATCATAAAGCAAATAATAACAAGTTAACAACAGCATGAGACTAGTATTGTCTCTGCTGTTGCATTTCTCTTGTGGTAGGGGTAAGGGGTTATATGTCAAATCCCTGCTTTATTAGTCAGGGCCCTAAGGTGTTGGGCGGGCAACAGGCTATAGTGTAGAGACACACCTCACACCCATGTTTGCCAAGCTGACAAGAATGACATAGCAGGTGCTCTGCTTTATTACAGCTGATGGACGCATTACGACGAAGAATGTCAATGGTGGCGGAGCTGGGATGACCAAGACGGTGATGCCAGAGGTCGGTGGAGATGGCGATGCTGGCGTGTGGAGCGTAAGACGCAGCAGGGAAGGTGTAAAGGTCGCCAGCACTATTGCAGCGAAGCATCACGCGTCGGGTCAGGATATCCTTGACAGAGAAACCAAGAGCGTCAAATTCTATAGAGCAGTTGTTGTCCCTAGTAAATTGATGGACAGATAGTAGATTGCAGACTAGGGATGGGACAACTAAGACATTATTAAGATGAAAATTTGACTCTGGTGTATGAAGGACAGACTCGCCACGACATGAAATAGGAAGAGTTTGACCATTGCCAACGGTAATGAAAGAGTAAGGAGGAGGATGGCGAGAAAGGAGTATACCATCCGAGGAGCTCATGTGGGAGGAGGCGCCGGAGTCTAGGACCCAGGGATGCTGGCCCTAGAGATGCATCTGATTGAGTGCAGCAACAAGACCATCCTGGTTCCACATGGGAGCCTGTTGGGAGACGTGGAGCGGCGCAAATGTTGTCGGGGGCTGCGTAGGCGCGAAGGCCGTGTGAGCCTGAGGAGGAGGGGCGCCAAGCACACCTGGGCGCCAGCCGCCTTGCTGAGCCGAAGGAGGGACCTGTGGCGCCCATGGATTGTAGCAAATCCAGGGGCCCATGGGTCGGTATTGGCCGTTTTGGCCAACCGGCTAGGACGCGCTTGCAACGCCGCCGCGCTGCTGCGCAGGGCCGCTGTTCCAGCCACGCCGGCCCTTGCCCTTGCTCTTGCCGCCGCTGCTGTTGCCACCGCCGCCGCCCTTGTTGCTGCTGCCGTAGCCGGTCACGTGTGGGTTGTGTGCACCTCCAGAGGTGGCTGTGGCAGCGAGAGCACGGCACCCGCCCGGGCTGGTGCAACCAGACTCGGTGGTGGCGAGGAGGGCGGTGCTGGCGACCGTCTTCTCATCGTTAGCGAGACGGAGCTCCTTTAGTGCCAGCATGTCATGGACTCTGGCGAATGTGGGAAGTACAGCGGAGTTGGTGATGTCGTCGGCGGTGTTGGAGAAGCGAGGATTGAGGCCACGCAGAAGGGCGAGGACGAGCTGCGAGTCCTCGACAGGATGGCCGACATCGCGAAGAGCGGCGACCTTGGTCTTCAGCCACTGGCAGTACGCCGAGATGGTGCTGTCACCTTGCACCATGGAGTGAAATTCGTTGAGGAAGATGGCGTGCGGCTCCCAGTTGGCATGGAAGATCCCCACAATGGCCACCCACATATCACGGGCGGTTGGATCGGCACCGTCCATGGCGAGGTCGAGGACGGAGTCATCGACGGAGCCGGAGATCCAGCCCCGGACACAGCACTCCGCGGCATCCCACTGAGGATCATCAGGTCGAGGGGGAGCAGAGCCGTCGATGTGCGAGCGAAGGCCGAACTTGCCGCACAACGACTTGAAGAAGAACGCCCACTTGGAGTAGTTGGATTGAAGGGCCAGCGTAATCGGATGTGGGACTTGACATTGATTGTGGCGTAGTGGTGAGCCACGATCGATCGGCAAAACAGCGCGCGGCGCTCATGGCGAGCATGGTGGGAGTGCTGTCATGGGGTGGTGCTGCGACTGCCGTGGCGGGGAGGTGGTGGGAGGCGAGGGAGGCCGATGTGTCCATCGGAGAGGAGAGAGGGAGCAGCCGGTGAGGGTGGACGGGCGCGAGGGAGTCGCGCGCGTTGGGGCTGTGCGCGATCAGGAAGGGGTCGCGCAGGGGGAAGGGCGGAAAAATAGGATCTGATAGTTTTGATACCATGTAGAGACACACCTCACACCCAATATGGGGGGGTGACCTTCATATATATAGCCAATATGGCTGGGTATACAAGGAATACAATCAAGTATATATAGCAGGTGCTAATTATAGCTAATCACACATAGACCTGCCTAATATATAGGAATGTTTATTGGTTAGCATTCTCCTTCCTTAACTCCCTTAACACAAGACTGCACTAAAACAACATTTTTTACCAGAATCCAAACAATCTCCAAAAGAATATACATCTATAAAAGCTTCCCAGGAGACCAGGAAGCTGGCAATGATAACATTCAGACTAGAGCTTAACAAAATAAGCTGAAATGCATACCAGCAGGCTTCTCCACTTCGAGCCAGGCCATTTCATGGGATCTATTTCACTAATGCGAACAATCATTCCAGATCGCCTAAAAAACATAAAACATAAGAAACAGGAAACAAATGCATACAACAAAAATAAAGTTGAATTGAGAAGAAACAGACCTTTCACTAACATCTTCATTATGGCACTGAAAGTTGATCCTTGCTCCAATACAGACTGGATGATTGAGGCTCTTCAGGAACTTAAGGTATGGAATAATATATTCTGAAGCAGTAGCTCTGCAGAGAAAGAATTAAAATTGAAACGAGTCAGATGATCTTTTATTATTTTATTCTAAACCCACACAGCTTTATTCGGCAGGTATTGAAACATGTCTTATTTTTACAAGGATTTCAACTGATATTTCATCATATACTAGCAGAAATAAATAAATAAAAATACTATATCGTGGAGTAACTTTGGCAACAAATTATATTTATATTATATATGTATGTCCAAAGAAGGATTCAGGCTCGGAATTTTTTGACCCAAAAACTCTGGGGGAAATCCTCCCAGGAGAGTAAGAAAGTTGCCCAGCCTATCAAGTTTTAAGCACAATCGCTGCTTAACTTTTAACTGTTGAACTTCTTGCAGTATGTCATCTTATCAACATGCCGAATTGTAGCAATTCAGGACTACATGTTTGATCTAAAGTCAAATTGACAGTATAAAAATGAATAATGTATTTTCACCTTGGATTGTAAGAAATGTGAAAAACACTTCTGTGCTTCAAGGAATCAGCTACAGCCGACAATGTATGCCGCTTTGTACTGTCACTACTGAAATCTTCAAAAAAGGCCTCATTTTTAAGCTGAATGGCCCTCCGTACACCCAGCCTTAGTTCACCATCATCACCTCTACAAAGATTAAAAAAGAAGACACTTCGCTTAATAAAGATACACAATGCACCTATGGCTACCACATGGTTCATCTGCTTACCGGAGAAATAACACAGCATCCCCTGAAACCAGTTTCTTTTTATTGACAAATGAACTCCATCCAGTAGTCAAGAGATGCCTACGAGGCTGACCTGGAATGCAAAGCAATTTCATCACTTGCTTGAACTTGAAGAAAATAACAGCACTTCCATCATAATAATAATTCAGATTTCATAATAGATGACCAAAGCAACTCAATAAACACCAATATCAGCTGGACCATTATTTCAAAGATACTAATTCTTGTACTTCCTCTGCCCCAAAAAGAATGGAAGTCTCACTTCCCGAGGAGTCAAATTATCTAAAGTTTGACCAAATATATATATAAATGTATTGATATTTATGATGTATAATAAGTATCACTAGATTAATCGTTGAATATATTTTCATAATAAATCTAATTGAAGATCCAAATGTAGATAATATCTTTTCTAAATCTAGTCAAACTTAAGATTGTTTGACGGAAGGAGTAATAAACAACACATTGCAAGTAATCTTCAGCTATTCGCAGTGCACACAATATTCGAGGAACATATCAATATTTCATGACACACATATGCACGCACGCACACGCACAGCACAAGTGTGCACACACACACACACACACACACACAACAGAAATTATAAAACACAAAAGAGCATAATGTGAAACATAATTCACATCAAGAAGATTTGGCCAATGCCAAAACAAGAAAATAGGAAATTGAAAGCTTTGAAGCTACCACAGCTACATGTTTCATATTGATGATCAAAATATTCATCCAACATTTACGTTACATGTAACATATGTTTTAGCACGAATCTTTGTTTGCCTTTGTATACAAAATCATATGGAAGTAACATTGATGTCATACCAAACATTCATTTGAAACTTAGTAAATACATTTTAAAAAGGGCATCGTTCACTCCTTGTCTAGTAAAATTGATCTCACCCCTATATATATGACGAAACTTCCACTTCGCTCCATGCAAATCCTTGGCAACCAGCTCTTGAGAAGGCCTGAGCTGATTATAATCCTATGAAACACAGCAACTAAATGTGGTTAGTACTGAAGCACAAGACACGGCGCAGTTTCAAGAGAAATGGCACAAAAGATCAGCAATATCACCAGAGGCGGGAAACAGTCCTCAGCAGCACGGCGAGGAACAGAGAACCCTCCATGCGTGCTTGTGTCAGAGGCTGTAAGGGTTTTGCAGAACATGTGCAGCATCCGGGACTTCCCTTCAGAATCCAAATCCTCCATGTCATCGTCCCCTTCAACTCCACCACCACGCAGATTTCTCCCAAATGCCTGAGCCATTAAGATGTGTGGTTCATGCATTAAACAAGATAAGAGAATAGCATTGTTTCATATAGTAAGTGCTCTTTTTCATTTCTAAGGAAATAAATCCATCGTTCCGTCCATATTTCTTGCTACAAATTCACTAGGTACTGAAATATGCCAATAGTAGTATGCTAGGCATGCTAAATGTAACCACAGCACACGAACATGCCTATTCCAACCTAGTAGCTCAATTACAACTATATATATAGAACTAAAAATGTCTATTTCAATTTATCTGCGCCTCGCCATTCCCAAATCAACCTGAGCAGCCAAAATCTAAAAGCGTACACGCACGCACACCGTACGAACGCTTACACAGTTACACCACACTGCTAACAGAAAAGGAAACAGGGGAACATGAATCTCCGCGATCCCCATGAGCATGCGAATCCAATCGGGTGATTTTTTTTAAGGACATTTTTACCTCGCCCTCCGCAACCAGCGCCAGCCGCGCGTACACCTCGTCCGTCGCCGCATCCGCCTGCACACAGCCATGCGAGCCTCATCATCAAAACAATGGAGCCTCAATACAGCCGCGCCCCCAAAACAAGCAGATGTGGCAAGTACTGCTGCACTCACGCATAGCTCGACATCCGCGACGCGGCACACCACGTGCGGCGGCAGGTCCGCAGCGACGTCCCCGCCGCCCGCCGCGGCTAGGTGGCCCTGCGGCAGGTACACGACCAGGCTGCCCCGCCGCGGCAGCGCGACCACGGGCCCCGCGCACGCGTGCCACAGCTCCCGGCTCACCGCCGGCGGCGGGCGGCGCTCCTGGCCCTCGCCGTCCACCATGTTGAGATCGATTCCCATGGGGCGCGCCACCATCACTAGGGTTCCGGTTCGTGTTCCGGCGCCCGTGCGGTTCCCCGCTCGCCCCGCTCCAGGACAAGCCGGTTAAAAGGGGGAGCCGACCGCGACCCGGCGGGAAGGAGGCGAGGAGGGGGAGGACGAGGAGGATGAGCACCCCATTAATGCCTCCGGGGCCGTCGCGCTCCAGCCATCTCCTTCTCAGTCAGTCACTCAGTCATCAGTCAGTCGCTCAGGACCCCATGCCGCTCTGCTCCTGCGGCGACCGCTCCCTCTCCCCCCACCTCGGCTGCCGCGATCGATGCCGGTCGCTGTTGCTTCCTGGGCCGCTGCCGCTGCCGCTGCGTCACTGGTCTGAGGCTACCCTGCGACGCCCATGTCTTTATGACGCTCCTGTTTCGTGAGCTGCTGCTGATGTCCAAGCGAACAGGGCAGTGAACTTGTGAAGTGAGGCCGAGGAGAGGAGAGGTGTGGTGAGGTGGGGATGAGGTGAGGTGCGGGTGAGAGAGGCAATGAGGGGTGGATTGGATGGGCTGTTTCCTTTTGCCCTTGGGCGCCGGGGGTTTTTTTAGTGGGGCCGGGCTGCTGCTGCTGCTGCGTTGTTGCGGAGTGGCACGGCGCTGCGCTCTGCGGTGCTGTTGCGCGCTTACTGGCCACCGTGCGCGGCCGCGGCAGCAGCAGTGGCAGGCTGCTGCTTTAGGTGCCACTGTTCCCCCAGCAGGAGGCCACCCGCCAGCGCCTCGGGGAAAGAGTGCACGACTGGACCTGCACGGTGCCGTCCTCCCCGTCTCACATCGGTCATCAGGGTCTTGTAATCTAGCGGTGTGATTTCGAGCATCCGGACGTGGTTTTGACCTGAAATTCGTCTCGGTTCGTTTGATCGGATTAGACATCAGGTTCACGCCAAGGTCCAGTTTAGTTTGCAAAAAATTTTGCAAAATTTTTCACATTTCTCGTCACATCGAATCTTTGGACGCATGCACGAAGCATTAAATATAAATAAAAAATAAAACTAATTACATAGTTTAGACGAAATCCACGAGACGAATCTTTTAAACCTAATTAGACTATGATTGAATATTATTTACTAAATAACAACGAAAACACTACGGTACTCATTTTGCAAAAATTTTTGCATCTAAACAAGCCCCGAGTAGATCCTGCCTTTTCACGGGAGTAGCTGCTGCATTTTGCAGGTGGAGGTGGGTGAATAGCGCTTGTATAGTTGTAGGAGCTCAGGAGATGTCAGTAGCTGTAGGTCATATGTACTCCTGCTCATATGCAAATAGTACTACCACTATGCAACGCAATCGAAGGGCGTTATGACTCTGGCTGGCCTCTGGGTCGGCGGTAGGAGCAGTGCTCTGCTGCCGCCTCCATGCCATTGCTGGACACGTATTAATTCTCACCATGTCTTCGCCGGTGCCCTTCAATGCCAAAGCTAGCAGTCGACGGACGGACGGATCTGACCCACCCAGTCGCAATCAATGGCCGATAAGTACATACGCAGTGATTAAGTAATGAGTGTGCCGCCTTCTCTCCGCCAGAGCGCTCTGGCGCGCGCACTCTCTCACGAGCCATGCCGTCTCGCGCGCACGGCGCGCACACATCACACCCCCCACACGGGCTACGGCCACATCGCACCACCGGCTCTGCCTGCCTGCCTGTCTTGTCTCCGTGCCAGACAGGGAACCAACGCCGGTCCGGTAGCAACTGGTCTGGTGCGCCGTCCACCTCAACGCAACAAAGCGGTGTGGCGTGGTCAATACGGGAACCGGGGAACGTGGTAGGATAGGGCCGTTTCATGCCGCCACTACCCAGCGCCCAGTGGTGGTGCTCCTGAGCGCTGCACATCGACGCCGACGTGCACATGCGTCTCGCTCGCAACGGCCCAGCCAACGAGGGTCGAGGGGTGAAAACAAAGGCTTTTGTACGCCAAGGAATCCACGAGACCATCACTGTTCACGTACCCTGGTGGACGTGGACGTGCTGGGCCTCGCCGGCACGCGGCACTGACGCATCAGCGTCACTGCCCCGTCTGCCGGGGCGTGGGCGCGTGGAGCCTGCGTGGCGACTGGCGACGGCGTAAAATCGTAAAAGGAGGAGACAGTCACCGTGCCTTGGTTCCTTTGCCCACACCCACCGTGGCTTTCACTGTGTTTACCGGTCCTGTGGGCCACCGGCAGCTCTGCCGCGGCAGCAGCTATCCCGGGGGGCGCTCCAACCCCGTACACGGCGCTCACGTTTTCTTCTTCGGAAGGACGGGTGCTCTGTTCCTGTTCTCCCCACGCCTGTGCTCAGCTTTGCTCGTCTTTTCAAACGCGAGGGGTGGCAGAGGCATCGGCACCGGCAGAAGCGGACGCGGGGTGACGGGGCGAGACGCCTTTTGCAGCGAGCGATGAGTTCCCGGAGCGCGTCGCTGCCCGCCTGCCTGCCCGTTGATGGCTTTGCCTGTGGGGGCACCGCACGGCACGGGGGCACGGGTGGCACATCCGTCGACAAGACATAGAGCCGTTCTGCTTGCGCGCGGGCCCCGCGGGGCGTGTCCACTTTTCCCCAGTAGCGGTCTACTATTACTACCGGGCCCGCCTATAGGCGCCTAGCCAGGGGGCGGGGGCCAGCGCGCGATTTGTCTCGTCCCGTCTCAGGCCGGGCAGGGGCTGGGCCGCGTCCCCCCTCCCCGCTTGCGTTCTTTGGATCCGTCTCGCTGGTTGCTCTCATCTCATGTTACGGTTACGGATGCCCTGGAGCATGCTGGTGCTGCTGTCTTCGTCCCGGTTTACAACTCTTCACGTGCCATGAAAAGGGCCTCGTCAGGGGTGAAGTGCCCTTCTAGCTCGCAGGTGATGCAGGTTGCGAACTTGCGATATTTTCATCGCTCCTTTTCTCCACGGCGTTGGTGGTCTATACTGCTACAGTTACCGGTTGCCGAGTACTCTTGCCCTCGTTAATTGAACAAGTGTCTTCTTCTAGTGGTGGGTGCATTAATTATACATGATGATGTTTTATGGCCTAATAAAGATAGTGTTGACAGTCGTTTTGTATCAAAAGTTGAACACCTCGTCAGGATAGGTCTAAGGGCCTGTTGGGTTTGTACGGGACCTCCTAAAATTCCTGTCACATCGAATATTTAGACACATGTATGGAATATTAAATATAGACTAATTACGAAACTAATTGCACAACTTACGACTAATTTGCGAGACAAATCTTTTAAGCCTAATTAGTCCATGATTTGACAATGTGGTGCTACAGTAAACATATGCTAATGACGGGTTAATTAGGCTTAAAAATTCGTCTCGCAAATTAACCTCCATCTATGTAATTAGTTTTGTAATTAATCTATATTTAATGCTCCTTATTAGTATCTAAATATTTGATTTGACATGAATTTTAGGAGCGACTAAAGAACCAAACACCCCCTAAGGCTAGTCTCTGTGTATGTTTCATTTACATTTGACATTATGACATACTATCAGCAGATTTTATGACTTGTCAGGTTAATTACAAAGAGAGAGATAGAGAGAGTCTCATAAAGTTTCATCTAGATAAAACTCGTTGTCACAGTTACCAATGCAATTCTGACAAGACAGTTTTTAGGAATAATATTATGAAATGTTCACATAGTTAATAGCAAAGTTCATTGCCAACCCGATCTTTAGTTTGTTATTGATAACGTTTTTATTTATTATTTTTAAATTCATGTATTTTGAGATTCAATCCTTTGATTTTTTTAAACAATCTTGTATAGAGACACGTTCTATACCAAAGCCATAGTGTTTGACAGGATCCAAAGAAGAATGATAGAGAGATATTATGCCATTTGAGTTACGACTTTGCATCCGTCTCGCTGCTTGCTCTCATCTCATGTTACTACTAAAACTTTTTTTCCATTTGAGTTTGTTTAGTAGTATAAATTAAATATTCAATAAAAGATTACAAAATGTTGGTAAAACACAGATAGCATCCTATATATACTTACAAATAAGTGCATACTCGTACCAAAACCAATATAAATCAATGTCCTACGTGCTACCTCTCATTCGAAGTGCATAATACACTAATCACTAGTTAGACGCAAAATTTACCAACAATATGCAGACACCACACAGATGTTCCTCTCCAAATACTCTGTGTGTCTTTTCCATGCATTGGACTCTAGCAATTATATTTGAAAATTTGCTATTTGGATTCACTACGTTCAATCCGCATCTGTCGTTCCATCTCCTTTTCACAGACTAATTCTATTTAATGTTCATTCTTTCTTTAGATAGTACATAAATTTAGCTCTATATATTTATCCTATTTGATATAGGCTGCTTAGCTAAATCTAAATTGCTAGATAACCACTAAAACCAACTGTCTATATTCTTTTATTTTTCGATTAATTTCGTAATGTATGTGTTCTCTAGGCGGCTATAGCCGCTCCTTTTAACACTACTATTGTAGTAAGAAAATAGATTACAACATTAACTCGAGCCATTTGTGCTATTTTAGGTTTTATAGAGCTAGAACACCAGCATGGACGTACATATCAACCACACAAGAACACTCTAGTTACTACTATTTGATGCTATCTCTGTCTAAAAAGACATAATTCTAGTTTTTTTACTTAAACTATTTAATATTTGACCAAGGTTATAGAAAAAAAATGATCACTCTTTATGATACCAAGTAAGTATGCTATAAAGAAATATGTTTCATGATAAGCTTATTCAATATTTTATTTTGGCTCGATCTGACACATCCAAGGAACTACGGCTTAGGTTTCGAGTAGGACCTGCTAGCTATCAAACAGCGTATATAGATTTTTTTTAGAAGAAACAGCGTATTGATATGGAACTTGGGTCACCATTTTAGAAGAAACAGCGTATTGATATGGAACTTGGGTCACCATTGACCCTTTAAACCTATGGTTGTTAACCTGTAGTTTTTTTTTAGCACGGTCGGCCTAATGGCCCATATCGAAGGCCCAACAGAATAAGGCTCCAGTAGACCGAATCCCTGTCTTTATATCTTGGACCGAGCAGTACACGGACTACAAAATTTCGGGCTGTAAAAGGACTTCTTCAGGGCCGAATCCCTTCTCTCTACGTGACCGTGGGCCGAATTGTACAATTGTCTGGGCTGTTGCAGTTCCGCGATCCGTGCGCGTTCGTGTTGGATCTGTTCTCGATTCTCGTGTTTTGGATCATGCTGCAGCGACAGAGCGAGCGCGAGCGGCGAGAATGGCGGAACAACCCGAATACCCGATCCAGTTCACCTGAGATGGTGCGTCGCTTTACTCACCAATCACCTTGATGACTTGATCTGTCGCAGCGCTTGAAGAGGTGATCAAGCAAGGGAAAGGGTTAAGAAAAGAGAGGAAAAAAAATGCAGCTCTCGGCTGCCGCCGCGTTGAGCCCCAATGATTTCATGTGCTATCTGCCTAATCTAAAAGCGGCAATCTCTTTCCCCTTAAAGAGGTAACTTTCGCTCCGAGATCTGTGCTGGCATGACTTGACGTCTTGACACGAGTACCGCTGGACTGTCACTGCTTGACAATCTGTGCCTCCTCTTCTGATCATGGCGTATACACTGTATGCTACAGTAGTCACTTGTCAGTACAAGTAACACGGATCAAAACAGACTAGTGCTACGCTCGGTGTTTTGGGGTCGATCATAGACCCGGTAACAAAAGATTGATCCTCGCTTAGAACCAAAGCATGACAGTAACTCGAGCTAGTGATAAATGGATCATGTGGAGCGAGCTAGTAGGCATTTATAATCTCACGCTCAGTGCCCACGGGCGGAACCCGGAAAAAATCGCCTGCTCCCTGTTCATACCACACGAGCCATGACTTCCATCAATGCGAGCCCCTCGGCGTGTCTCCTAGATCTCACATGCTCTCAGACAGCCTCTCTCAGCTAGCCAGCGTGCACCAAATTCCATCATGCACACCGCGCCGCGCACGTTCTCCCGGCCCGTCTCCCTCACTCGATCCAATCCCCCGCCATCATCGGCGCGCCCCGCCCGACCTGATCAGTGACCAGTGACCACCCACACTGTCTAGGATGCCTTTCTGTTCCCATCAGCTTTCTACCGCTGTTAGCTGTCGCTGGACCCGGACCGCGCTATAAATAAGTGGGCGCGCACGGAAACACACTCACCACCGACGGTTTCCGACCCGATGGCTGCCTCTGCTGCTCGCCACCTCTTCCTCGCTGCCTTATTAGTGGCCGTGCTCGCCGTCGCGGCGCCTCGCTCGGCGGACGCGTGGGGCGGTGGCCGCTTCTTCTTCAGCAAGACCACGCGTCCCGAATCCACCGTTGAGCCCGACAAGGCTGCCGTGCCCACCAACGCCGCGGCCGCGGACACCGATGCCGCGCCGGAGTTCTCGCGCCCCTCGACCGGCGGCAGCGGCCGCGGGTACGGGCTCTACGGCCGCCCCGAGGAGAACTACCCGCCGGACTACTTCCGCCGTGGCGTGCACCGCAACGCCGAGAAGCTGACGACGACGACGGCCGACGTGGCGCCGGCCACAGCAGGTTCCCTGGAGGAGGCGGCCCCTGTAACTGTAAGAGGCCGCGGCGAGCGCGTCGGGACGTTCCCCGAAAACGGCAGCGGCAAGGGCCGCCCGACGACCGACGTGCCGGTCACCACCGGCACCGAGGAGGAGGCTGCCCCCGCCGGAGGAGACCTCGACGGCGTCCAGCCGTACCCGGAAAACGGCAGCGGCAGGGGCCGGCCGCCGTGGTACTACACGGGCTTCCACCGCGGCAGCAGGCAGCAGGAGCAGGAGCAGCGGGACTACGGGATGAGCGACACGAGGCTGTACCAGAACGGCCGCTACTACTACGATGTGGACGCCGGCAGGTACGGCTACGGCCGCGAGTCGAACCCCATGCGGACGCGCCCCGACGAGGAGGAGTTCGGCTCCGGGTACGGCCGACCCCGCGGCGCCGCCGGCGGCAGGCGCGGCAGTAGCTACGGCGATGCGGCGGGCTACCAGCAGGAGCAGCAGCACGGCAACGGCGAGGAGTTCGGGAATGGAGCCATGGATCAGAACACGAACGGCTTCCAGGAGGAAGCAGGCCAGAACGGATTATACACTCCATGAGTTTGCGTTGTGTCATGTGTCAGTCCTCCGTCGTGTGTTGCTACTAGTACTAGTGATGATCGCATCGTGTGCTCCATCGCCGAGTACTTGTGGGCGGAACCAGCTGCCTGCTTCTGTCTTCTGTGCACGCCTACGTGCACTAATGGTGACGCAACGCAACCAATGAATGAAGAAGTGGTGTGTGTACGTACAATAGAACTGTGTGTACTGTGTATTGCAGATCAAAATGCCACTATATATCCACCTACTGTTCATCTGTCGGTGCACACTGATCCAATTCGTGTGGCTGCAATAATCAGTGGGTTAAAAACTGTACGAACTTACTACGCAGGGTGATTTTTGTAATTTTTTTTCACGTTGATCCGTACCCCCCGTAGATCGCAATAATTTCATCAGCAGACAATGGGACGAACGACATGTTGTAGTAGGCCACAATTTCGACGTTCCTGTGTGCATGCTTGACAAAACTGTGGACCGCTGCCTGCTGCTGGACACTTGATCCATCTTGTTAATGCTACGCCAACCAGCAGCCAATTAATCCATTATCATGCACCAACTTTTCGTCCTCGGTCGAAGGCACTTCGTGCCCCAGCAAAAAGGGTTAAAAAAGACATCAAACCTTTTGTTTTGTCCTCGAATTGAAGGGCATGATTGATATCAATCCCATTATTTTGCACGAACACGGAACACCTGAGCACTTTAAACTGTTTCGTTTAATTTCATTTTCGCTCCCAAAATTTGCCATTTTCACGGCGTCGACCGGCTACGCGCAATAATTTCATCCCATCCAGTCTAGCGGACAAACGGTACGACATGCAGGCCATAATTTTGACGGGCCAGTGTGCATGACAAAACTGTTGACTGCTGGACGTACACTTGCGTCCATCTCGTTACGCTTACGCATCAACCAACGTCCCAAGACTCCCAATGTCATGTGCCCGCTGCCACTTTATTTGATGCAGGGCAACAGATCGTTCGGTCCATTAAACTCGGCAGCCCCGTCTTGAGGTTCGGCTGAAAAGTGCTTTTCAACATGAACATATCCAGCTGTTTTTTGAGCAGCAGCAGCAGTATCGCCACCACTGCTTATACAGCTATACTACTACTAGTATTTTGGATGGTTTTTCATAATTTGGTAGCGTAGGCTTTGGATTAGGCCGCCACAACCAACGCAAAAGGTGCTCTCATCCCCAGGCTTAACTTTGCTGTCCGGTTGTTGACGTGCATGGACCACACGAGGTAGGTTCCGTTCCTATGCTATCCCCCCTATATCTCTCCGCGACCGCCCATCTCGGCAAGACGGCAAGGTTGCCGTGCAGCTCACGTACGAAACCCGCCCGGAAATAATTTCACAGGATCAAATCAAACCATCCCTTCGGCAGAGGAGCCAGGCCCGTCCGCGCATGGGCCAACTCAACCTGCCTGACGGACTCATGCGTCCAGCCCGCCCCAGCCCAAGCCGGGCCAATTTCACGCGGGATCGGTCGCAACGACGAACCACCACCGGCCCAGCACAGCCGTAGGGTTTATTAGCATCTCCCACCGCCCCCGCGCTCCTCTTCTGTCGCGCCGGCTACCACAGCGCAGAGCAACACAGCAGCCGCCTGCCTCGCCGCCGCAATGGCCGCCGCCGCCTCCTCCTCCGCTGCGAGATCCTTCCTCCGGTCCAGCGGCTCATCGTCCCTCCGCAGCGCGGCGGCAAGAGCCGCCTCGCGTGCCGGATCTGCTCCGCTGCCGAGGCGGATGCCCACCTCTGCCTCCCGCGCACTCCTAAGGTGCCCACTATCTTAGGTTTTGGGCCCGTGGAGCCGTCGTATTTTTGTCCTTTTTTTTGGCTTGCTCTGTTTGAAATTGTTACTCAGATATATTATTGTCTGTCGTTTCGTTCTTAGGTCGCCGGTGGAGATGAGCAGCGTGTGCCTGGAGTCCCTGATGCCCATGCACAGCGCCACGGCTTCGGCGCTCATGACGTCGCTACTCGCTGCCCCGGCTTGCAAGGGATTCGGTTGGCTATCAGAAGGTGATTTGCCCTGGTCTCAGTTTCATTTCCTTGCTTCGTAATGTTGGATTAATTTGTTATTTACCATATTTGCTTGTTGCCACCTAGGAGACAGCTTAAGCCCGATCAAAGTTAACCAGTGGCGTAGCCAGTATTTGTAGCTATGGTTGTCCATTGTCTAAATTCTTTTAATGCTATACCAATTTGATAAGTAAATAGAACCAATGATAAACTTTATCGTTCTTTGTTTCAACAATTCTCTAAGAGAATTATATAATGTTTCAATATATATCCAATACTGCAAAAAATCATATATTGAAATAAAATAATTCAGTGTTGCACTTGCACAAAAAATAATCAGTTTTGTATACCCTAAGGTTGTGCACTTTTCCTGTCTGACTGTCTGCAGATCGCAGATCACCGAACGGATCATATATTGAAATTGAAGAAACTGAAAGGAAAAGAAGAAACGTATGTACTTGTGACTAAAGGAGAATAGCGATAGATCATAGACGTTGGCTCAGCAGCCAGCAGGATTTAACGTTGGCTCAGCAGTTCAGTCTTGGAGTCGCTAGGATTCAGAGTACCTGCTGGGCTGCTGCTTTGCGTTTGCCCTCGTGGAGATGCCGATGTCAGAGTCCGATGGGCGATGGCTGACTGGTGCTCGCCGCAGGTAGCAGTTGCATCGCGGTCGTCCACCGATCCCAGTACCCTACGATTGCACCGCACACCACGCGAAAGAAAGAAAGCAAAGAATACGATTGGAGACGAACTGACGGCGGCAGCCGGAAGATCCTGAGCGACTGAGCGAGTCCTAACTCTACCTATGGGCTTTGGTTGGGCCGAGCGCAGGGTGGTCCACGGCCCACAGGGACCACCCTGTAGCTCCGCCCCTGAAGTTAACACGCTCACCCGTTTCCTTCGTAGATGCATATCTTTTAGGTCATCCAGAGTAGTGATAAAAATTTGATGTTTCTGCGGGTAATTTTGGTCTCCAGCATGTTGATTGCTGCAACAAATTTAGCAAGCCAAGTTAATGCTGTATGACCAAACAAACAGGCTATCACTTTTTCCTTGATTGATATTCAAGCTCCCACAATGGAACGCCAACCTGATTCTTCTACTCCTGTAAACCTAATTTTTCTGCTCCCGTGTCAGATTTAGTTTAATTTATTAAATGAATACGAGCTCACATTGCTCTGACTAGGAGTACTGAAGCTCTGCACAAGATAATTTCCGTACCATTGTAGGATGTCCTCAAAATATGTTATCATATACATTACATATTTAGCTTACATCAGATCACCTTTTACATAAAACCAGCTTTACATCCTTTTGGAGTCCTTGAGTTTGATTGCTCTAGATGTTTTTCATATTTTCCCTCTATAACATAGCCATTTTTCTAGTTAGACAAGTAGTTTCAAACATTTTTATATGAACAAGGGTAGGACAGTGTGTGTGACTTCCTTAAGCAGTTCCTAAGGTTTGTGCCTATATGTGTTTTTAGTTTGCCTTTAGTACCCGTCTCATTACCACCATGGAAACCATAAACTTTTTCTAATTCAAAACTGAAATATGGTAGCAAAGTTTTCATATTGAAATTAATCTTATACTTTCCACATGGCCATTGTTGTAGGTCAAGATAGATGAACTTCAGGGACCCAAAAGGTGAATAATTTTTAAAGATTCCATCAATAATAACTGTTGATGGCTAGGTTCCATCACTAGTTCACGTGTCAGAATGATTTGTGGAAAGAAGAGCCTGCTATCTTTATCTTATGGAATTGCATCTAAATTCATCTATTGTGAACTACTGCACTTGCACATTAAGATGTACAATATGGAACAAAAGAAGTCTGCATTTTTATAAGCCATACATTGTATTGAGCCAGGTATTTTTATTGTTCCTTTGTGGAATTGCAAAATGCTTTACCTAGAGCTGCTGTGCCACGATTGTTGTGCCGTGTCTAAGATTCCCATTGTCACTCTGAGTGATCTCTTATTGATTTTGTGGACCTTTTGGCCAAACGAGAGATTTCTTTCCTGGGTGGACTTTTGCCTGTGGTTTGCTGAAGTCGAACTATTGGTGGATTTAATAATAGCGTTTATAAATTTGAATGTAACATAATCATTAATTACAAATTTGAGGGAAAAAAGAGACTGATTCTTTTGTATTGGCCCAGCTGATAATGATGACGTGTGACAATCTCTAGATGGAACGTAGCAGATTATTATCCCGTCACCTCAGATCTACAGGTCCGTTCCGATTTGAAGGAACATCCATGATAAGATATGTTTATTACAAATTTCTAGCAAATTTCCATTTTTCTTACAAAATGTCCTCTGTGCTAGTTGATTCTGATAGGCATAGCGAGTAATAATGAGGTTATTTCTCCAATATAAATTTTGTTTATCTCTGTACTGTATGTTTCTTGACTTTATTGCATCTCTATAGGCCTGTGATTAGTGCGATGGAGGTCATCTTGGATGAAGACTAGACTGTGCTATTTGTTTTGCCATCTCTGTTGCCTTGGTTTTGCCCATTATAAATGAAACATAGAGCAAATGTAGCTTTCATCACTGCTAACTTTTATGATGCTAGTTTAGAGCTTGAGCTCAGATTGTTGTGTTTCTATTTGTAGATGGATGATTTGTCGTTATTGGAGACCTGCAGTGATGGTATCTGGTCTGGATTATGGAATACCTCGTGAATTTGAAGTACTTGGTTGGCGTCCCAGTTAACATGTTTGTGCTCTGGGATTCCAGTTTGTATGAAATTTGCAGAATTGTTCATGAGATTTATTTTGGCTGACTAGCTGTCAAAAAGACTTTGGCCTTGATGACCTGCCTGATCATGTAGATCTGGAATGAATAAACTTGATTAAAGGATTTTGGTCATCAAACTTTAAAACTAGGTATCATCAAAACCGACTACTTTGGCCCTAGATCGCCACCCATATGTCGGAGAAAAACACCGTAGCCGCTTGCATCAACTGTTGCGATGCCTTCAACATCAAAGCCCATGCATAGGGCTTTTGGAGGATAATCTATGTACGTAACTGAATAAACTATCTGCAAGGGAGAGTAAACAATTTTTTTTAAAAAATCATTTCTGCGTAACCAAATCGACCAACAAGTTGCACCCAACATAATTATAGGTTTGAGATCTTCTGAAACCCTCGAAGCCAACTCTCAAAAAGTTTAGGAATACTAAGGCTGGGGGAGATTTAACGTAACTTGTATACAACCCTAAATTGCCCGTGCAAAGCGGCATTCAAAGAAAAGATGCTTAATTGTCTCGCTCTTGTGACGAAAGCAACACTTCTCACTGCCTTGCCAATTGCGTTTTGCTAAGTTGTCTTTTGTTAAGATAAGTCCCATTCGAATGTACCACATAAAAATCTTTATCTTCGGTGGGGCCTTTGTTTTTCATATGATTTTGTTTAGGTTTGGCACATCTTGGTGGATCAAAGAAGATGAATTTTTCAGCCATTTGTTCACCCAGAACCACACTTAGGAACCGTCTATAATTACAAAGGAGCCAAATTGAAGGAAATCCTGTTTGACCTTCATGAGCCTTCCCCCGAAATGAGAATCCCCACTTTCACAAAAAAAACTTGGGATAGCGGCTTTGAGCCTAACTACTTGTTCCTGAATATTTGTTGCCAAATCCCATCCATTGTCAGCAGCTTGAACAACCATTTGCTTAGGAGTGCAATATTTTTCAGTTCCAAATCATGGATTCCTAACCCCTGGTCCTTAGGATGACAAAGTATGCTCCACTTGGCAATTCGATACTTATTTGGTCGTTACTTTGCCAAAAAAAACTAAACCTAAAATAATCTAACTTCTTAAGCACTCCTCTTGGAATTGCAAAGAAAGACATCATATACATGGGTAGACTACTCGAACCAAATTAATCAAGGTTAGTCCTTCCCCGGTTGATAGATGTTTTCCTCTCCAGCTGCTCAATTTCTTAAAACGTTCTTCCACCTTGTGCCAATCTGCATTCATTAGCTTTCTGAAATGAATCGGAATTCCTAGATAAGTCATAGGAAACTTCCTAGATTTACATCAAAAAGGTCGGTATATTTGTCCTCTTCTTCCTTGGCTTCTCTTGAGCAGTATATTTCGCTCTTATGGAAGTTTATTTTTAGATCAGATGTCTGCTCAAAAGCATAAAGTAGTAGTTTCAAGTTTCGGGCTTCATGTAGATCATGTTCCATAAAGAGTATGGTGTCATCAGCGTATTGTAGTATTGATAAACAACCATCCACTAGATGGAGCACCACACCACTTATCTGACCCTCTTGATTTGCTCTCTTAATAAGTATGGCCAACATGTCAGTAACATATTAAACAGAAGAGGTGCCAAATGGTCTCCTTGTTGGAGTCCTTTCTTTGTTTGGAAGTAATGCCCAACCTCATTATTTACATTGATTGCTACACTACCGGTCGAGATGAAGGTTTGCACCTATTGGATCTATTTGGGCGAAAATTCTTCCATACGTAATGGAATAGAAAAGGTCATCTTATCTTGTCATAAGCTTTCAAATCTATCTTGAAAATAACCCCATTTAAATTCTTTCGATGAAGTTCGTGAATCGTCTCATGGAGCATAACAACTCCTTGAAGGATATTTCGTCCTTCAAGGATAATACAAGGTGAAGGATATATAGCACGGAAGCTACTGATGGGAACAAAATAAGCTCTCTTTTGGTGCAACTCTGCCTGTGCGTGAAAGAAAGAAAGAAAGCAAACTAGCATGGACAACTCCATTAATTCACGAATGACCACCCTATTCAAATCCAGCGATTGATAAGACACATCCAGCAACTATCCATTTTTGGCACCAAAAAAAAAAAATCCGCAACTTTTTTTTTCTTTAAAAAGTTACAATGTTATACACATAGCTTAAGCGTATAACTTACTACGATAAAGTTATGCGCACAACTTATATATATAACTTACTATGGGATAAAGTTATACACATAACTTGTGCGTATAACATTTTCTCCACGTAACTTTTACGTATAATTTTTATGAGATATAACTTATTGGCAGGATTTAGTCAATATATTTTTAATAATATTTGTAGAAAATTTATCATAATAACTTTCCTACGTAACTTTTGAAGTCTAACTTTTGTTCATAACTATCAGTGGGTAAATTTATTCATCACAATTTCTCAACAGAACTTTTATAAACACAACTTTATATAATAAATTATATAAATAAAATAATTTATACACATAAGTTATCATTGTAAATTGTACATACAATTTATCCAACACAAATTCCATGTAGTTTGTTGTGAAAAGAAATACAAAAATAAAAGGAAAAAAGTGAGGAAATTGAACGCTTCGGGAGAGAGAATGAAAAGTGTGAGAAAATGGAGTTAGAGAAGTCATGGAAAGGGAAGGAGGCACTAAGAAAAGAGAAAGGAGAAGTGAACATAATAGAAAATGGACCCCACACATAATAATGCCGGAAAGGTTCCCTAGATTGAAATTGAGCGAATGTTCACCAAAATGGAATTGGGTCGAAGCACAGGATGGATATGGGAGTCAATCTTGTTGAACACGACCTGGAGATTAATTTCTGGCCACGTGAGTGCTACATGTACCCTTGCTACAACTGATCATGCTCTCTTTGTGAAACATGTACAAGTTCATTAAATTTTTCTTTTTGCCTTAGAAACTAATAACGAAACCATGCATTGGATGATTTCGCCTAAAAAAAACCATTCATTTGAAGAGTTAGGACTAGTGCAATATATTGCTCTTGGAAATTACTCTAAAAACTGTACTACACTAGGATTGCCCTAAGCACTGGACTGGCCCCAGCGGCCAGTGCTACTGCGTGCGCACGACTGCACGGCACGAGTCATGGTCCTCGTCCGTCTAGTCTTGGCCGATAGTGTCCGGCTGTCCGCCTCCGCCTGGTGGCTCGAGCAGTAAAGCCATCGAAGCAGCAGCCGGGACTATGGAGCGCACTGCCAACCCGGGGGACCGACACGATGAGTCACTCAAACAAACACCAACAGCTCGCTACATCAGGACGACAATACGATGGATAAATTTGGCAGCAGTACCTTGGGTAAGGCCTTGTGGGGATGCGCATGTATGTGTTGAAGTGGATTGGAGTGGAATTGAACTAAATTCTATTCCATTCCACTTCAACACACGTGGATTGAGTTGGATGCATGCATCCAAACAAGGGCTAAAATGGATAGCTCATCTGATCGGCCACATCCAGGAAAATTCCTTCCAGCAACCGTTATACCTTCAAAAACTTTGCAATAGCACTCACAACACAGTTGCTAGCACAAAAGATGTAGCTTCCAGCAGAGGTTAACAAACAAGTCACCAGAGCTCACCGGTGGTGCTGCAATAGAATCACAACTAGCTCTACCAATGTACAAGAATTGAAGGCCTAAATTGCTAAAATCACAAATCTGGACTCTTAAACTAGATAGCTATAAAAGCTACTGGAAGAGTTCGATATGGATCTAAGCTATATCAGTAAGCACAAAGCCTTTCCACACTGAATTGCTAAGCTGTACATAGGAGATAGAGCACCACTGCTACACCACAAGTCTGCGACAATCTGGGTCAGAACCTGTTCAGGAAAACTCAAAACAGTCAGCACCCAGCAACTGCACATCCTAAACTAAAAGTCCACATAACACTATTTCCACTTGCAAGTTTATCAAGTTTAACTGCCGCTATCAGCACGGTTATTATCCAATATGCTATATAGAGACATTCTGCTCCTATTGTGGTGACCATGAAACAAAGATTTTGTTCAAGTTTTGGATGCCGTTTTTTTTATAAACGAAAGCACATCCAGCTTTAATTGGCCGTTGTGCAATCGACTTAGTTGGCTATTGTGCTACCTGAAGCTAGCAGTATTGTAATGCAGACTGTGAATAACCAATCAAAACGAAGGGACTACTGATTTGTTCACTAATCAATGCACTCATAACATTAACTATGAGCAAAGTACATAACAGAAACAGTAAGGGCAGACCCAGTGCCGGAGGCTCCCACATGAGTGGGGTCTGGGGAAGGGAAGGCCTAAAAATATTAGAGTTCCAGTCAAGCTCGACAATGCACCCCAGTTAACATGCAAATTAGTCCACAAAATTTTGGTTACTCTGTACTACAATGTAAAGAGGCTACGCAAATAATTAAGGGTCGTTGTGAAATCTTAAGTACCTCAAACTGTATTTGTCTTTTTTCCAGTAAGAATACGGGATATCTGGAGGCCCCTGCTGAAACCTTCATTGAAAAGTACCCTTGTCTGCATTTCTTGAAATCCCGGCAACCAGGACAGCAACGCAACTGGTGCCATAATGAACACTCCAAGCAGTATCTCATACAAGCGAGCCACAGAAATAATACTGCTCCACACCACAGTGGACTCGATGAATGGCCGAATTACTTGAGCGATCGAAATCAAGCCCCAACCAGTAGGAATAAATGCCAAAAGACTAGTGAAGATGTCAATGATTTCAAATCTCGTGAACTTCAGAAACAATATCAGCACTAGCACTGCAAGAAAGATGACAGCAGTTTGGACAACCCGGTAGTAAAGGTGCTCCTTTGCGGCATACTTGTCTCGAGCATAGGACATTAGGACGAACACACCAAAAATCACAGCCACACATATCCAGGAAAGCAGATAGACAGCAATACTTCTGCTATTG